TATCTATGGACCGCTCTTATCTATGGGATTTTAGGGTAAGCACTTACTGCGTGGGCAATCGTGTTCTCTATGATGTTCCCTCTGTTACGGACCCTGGCTTTCATTATGGTAGGTGAAGGCTCGGGTCAACGCTGCATGGATGAAATGGAGGGAGTCCACTGGAATCCTCTGCGATCGAAGGTGCTCCAGAGCGCTCAAAGGGAAGGTGTACCGGACAGTGGTAAGGCCTGCGATGCTATACGGCAGCGAGTGCTGGCCCCTGAACAAGAATCACGAAAGGCAGCTTCACTCCGCCGAAATGAGGATGCTGAGATGGGCCTGCGGCTGGACGCGGCTGGACAAGGTTAGAAACGAGGATGTCAGAGCGGAGTGAATCCTCGCACCCCACACTTATTTTCTAGCAAGTTCTATACCTCTGCTTCGATCGCATTTAATACCAAGTTTGGGGGAGGGGGAAGGGGTAAAAAGCAATTTGTTTTTCACTTATTCCTACCATTAGAATTCGCTAACAATAGCCGTTTGTTGACGTAGCAAAGGCTAAAAAGGCATTCGAGTGCTACTTCGACTTTAATTGAATCAAGGGGTGCATCCCACAAAGGAAGTGTTTTTTATTTAAGAAGTTTTTTCGATAAAATAATTTTTGATAAATTTCCAAAAGCTAAAGCCCTTCTCTTTACTCTTCCTCAGAAATTGGAAAGAACTTGTGGGAAATGTTGAATTGCTCACCCTTCTCAATTTTTGTTCCAAGTGCGCTGCGAGGAACTAAATTGAGAGAGCGGTAAGAAACTCTCGTTTTGTGAAGTGCCGAATCTGCCTTGTCGTCTTTTTACACATAAAATATTTATAGAAACGGCATAAATGTGTTACATGCAGAGAAATGACAACAAAGATTACGACAAAGATTCATAAGCATTACATATAGGAGAAAAAGGAATGTGACTTCTAAGCGAAGTGGTCGATGGCGCTCACGTGCGGTTTCCGATGACGATGGCCAGCAGGGCGTCACGGTACTGCCCGGAGGTATCGCCCTGAATTGTCTTCAATTAAGGACCGACAGAAAGGTGGTAGCGCTGTGCAAAAGGTAGAAATTTGGATGGACTCCAAACACAGCTCTCCACCAAAGCTCTACGCCGTTATTGCCTTTAACTCAAAAACATGATGAAGCAGAAAACTCCAATCCCTCGCCAACTTTCCTTAGCGTGCCACTGCAGATTTCAAGACTAATTTTGGCCAATCTAGCAATCTAAAAAGCACCGGGGTAAGGAGCGCCTTCACGCAGTTCCGTTTATCAAATAGAACCTAAGACATAATACAGAGCTCGCCTTCTTAAGGGATAGTCAATTGGTACCGAACTACGCTTCTCAAACATCGGCCAATACCCGAGGGTCACTACACCCCCTAGACAGTAACCAGTGTATTTCAACTTTGAACTGAAACCAAGGGCATCCTAGTGCAACGAACCCTGATCATTTCTTCGAGCGATTTGTTGTAAAGGGCGAGGAACTCCTCCTTGATCAGTTGCAGATCGACTTCCGAGCGAGTGACGAGCACGCGGATCAGGATCGTTGTCACGAGTTCCGAGGCCCTTCAAAAATTTGGCAAAATTTTGTGGATTCTCGGGCGCACTTGTGAAACAAAGGGAACGGTCTTACCTTCATCGAGTTGTACAACTGGGTTAGCGAAGAACTTCTGCTTGTCAGAGGCTGCTCGCACAATGGTCAGGTAACTCTTCTGGAGATCACCGCTGAACTCCTTTTCAATCAGCTTCTCGATCGACGACCCAGACAGCTCAGCAAATGCAGCGAATATCTTCAAATAAAAAGATGATTTGTGGGTTTTTAATCACCCAAATTTTGTGCTATGCCATACTTTTCTCAGTTGGTACTGGTTCTGTGAGGCCATGATGTTCAAAAAGTGCGACGGGGTATCCTTGCCGCTGAGCTTTCCCTTGCCATCAGCATATAGGCGGATAGCGTCCTGAAATAATTTGACTTGCTAACGAGAATCCGAAAGGGTCATCAAACACCTTACGTCTTTCGCCATTTGGTCGTTGGTGTTGCTGCTGGGATCTCGACTTCCAGTGACGATAGCGCAGAGCAGATCTCTGAATTCGCCTGATGTCTCAGAGGCAACCTGCAATGTCATGGTGAATAATTCTACCCTTGTCAAGATTGTATTATATAACAGCTCCAAGCGCTCATGTCTTCGGGGGGGGGGGGCATTTAAGTGATGAGCCAGTTTCAGAACTTGAGATTAACAATAAGCTTTCGGAATGATGCGAACAATTTTTGTTCTCCCTGGCGTTTACCCCTTTCCTGGACTTGGCCCCAGAGTTACCTCATCGTGGTTTTCAGAGGTACCCAAGGCGATGAGCGCTCTACTCCAAATAAGGATGTACCGTTTTATAGAATACTGTGATACAATCGAAAAGCAAGTCGCCTGTTTACTACCCCGTTGACCCTGAAGGAGACGCTGCTCCTCAGTGCTTGTGGTTATATCCGGGTGGGAGGTCTCATTTTTTTCATTCACACTGACGAGGTAAGCTGTGTTCACATTCCCACTGAGGACCTCGGCTCTCCTCATTCAGCGCATAGCTTTTATTATTCGAAATTGCCTCTTCCAGAAGAGAAATGAGTTGGATCGAATGTAACCATCAAACTAAAGCTTTGCTGCCAAATGAAGCTCAAATATTTTGCCTTGTACAAGGGTTTCTCCTTCACTCGGCAGACAAGAATCTTGCTGATGAGAAAGCTGTGATAGGGCTTCGCAAAAGAGGTTAATTTGCAATCTAGTGGACCTGCAAACTAATTGGGAGATAGGGAGAATATAGAGGCGTCTACAAGTCCATCACCAGGCCAGCATTGTAACGTTAGGTACTGTCGGAAATGCGCTAAAATTTCTGGCACAACCACGCCACATTCCGTTGACCGAAACTGCGTAGAGAAGTCCCTGTTTCTACATGAACCAGCCTAAACATCTTCAAGCCTTTCATGCATGAAAAAATCTTTGCACCTCTTGCTCCAGCGGCTTCTTGAATTCCCTCTCGTAAGCTACACGAATGGCTTTGATCTGGTCGGTTGTTCGAGAGCAGAGGATCTCGATCAGCGTGGCCTCGTCAGTGCCAAGACCCTGAATGAAAGCCGTTCTGGGTGGTTTAACAATTGGAACGCTGTTGCGAAACTTGTTTAAAGCACTAGCAAACTTTCCAGTTTGCAAAACTCAAACTCTGCAAACCTTACTGGAAACTACTAATTGTTGAGCAGTATATTACCTTCATGGCCTGTTTCAGTTCGTAATAACTTCGTAATTGAGAGGTTCTCCATAAGAGCGAAGATGGTCTTTTCGAGATCACCGCTGAATTTCTTGTCCAGAGCGGTCATAATATCCTTGCCATACTTGATCTTGTACGGCTCACGCAACTGAAAATGACTCAAATGATTGTCTACAACTCTTTGGTACATCATTAAATCATTGGTAGAACTGAGTTATCAGGTTGAACTATCACCGCATAACGATCATTTTCTTGCGCTTTGAAATCATTCTGTAACTGTTCTTCAGCACTGTAATCGCTCTATGATTTCCTTCCACGGCCGCAATCAACTACGAAACTTTTTGACTCTATTGGTTTGAACTGGCGCCCTCACAGATAAGGTCACTTAAACCGACCAAGATTCATCAAGCTCAAGCAGCAGAAGTAATGGTAGGAGCAGTAATAGGAATCACCACAACAATCAAAAGCAGCGGCATGAGCGATTTTTTCCTAATAAGTCTTCACGAGAACTGCCCGTTGGATGCCTGGGTAAATACAATACCTCCTCGTCTTCGGTAGCGGAGAGCAACTTCGACGCACCTCAAAAACCACTTCTACGCACAGCGATGTGGAGCCTAAGTAGACGAATAGTTCCCGAAACTTGAGCACTCCACCATAGTAGTGAAATTTTTCAGAGTAGCACACTTGACCTCGCTTTCCACAGGACTTTGAAGGAAAACTAGAAACCACTGCTCTGTTTTATGGCTGTTCCCGCTCACGTTCTCGTTAAGAGAATAAGGTATTTTTATATAGTATTTTTTTAGCAGTCGGACACTTCAACTTACTTTAACACATTTGAGATCTATTCGTGCATACCCGGGATGCCCGCAGCAGTATGTTAAAAATTAATATTATGGACACACGCACGAGCGAAACGTGCAAGGCTCATCTAAGCCGCGAAAATATTATGCATAGTAAAAAACTAGCTCTGGAAAAGCTCCAGAAAATAAGACAACCAAGTTATGTCAAATATTAGGTCACGTAGTTCAATTTGAATGAATCCTTGTGATGCCTCGGATTGAGATGGGGCCAGCGTGTAGGTTAGCATGCACGACCACCAATATCCTCGTTATATCCTAGATACCCGAACACTTTTTCACATGGCCCATGAAACTTAATCCAGTCCCATCGCCAGACGACCCGCGCCCTTCGACACGAGATTGTCGATTCACTTTGGAGTTGTTGGCAGACCTCACGGAAGACAAGCAAGGGTGGTTGGTTCCTCTCGGGAACAACAGAGGAGTTTCCCGACGGTTTCTTCTGAACATCAGTCAACATTTCAGTTGAAAATAGTTTATTTGCGCGAAGTGATAGGTGATTTACGGGGCAGTCTCCCCTCGGGGCTGGCTGAAGTCTCTCGAAAAACTTCAGAGATTTCTAGTATTTTGTATAACAGATGACTCCTTATAATATTGTATATAATGAACTATTGTATAATATTGTAAATTGTTCATTATTTTGAAAACAGGCGCAGATAAATAGTCAGTAATGATGAATGATCCGCTATGTAATTGAAACGTGCAAACGTCACAGCCATATAATATCAAATACTATCAGGAAACCATTAAACTACGGGTTGTTCCAGAGTTTCATATTCAACCTGGTATGACCCTACTAGGCACGGAACGCTTACAACATAGGCTGGCGAGTAAACACCCCTGATGCGGCATTTCTGAGCGTCGTTCCCTGCTTTGGAAGAAGCACCAGTCTCGGTCCCACTGCTTTACATAAATCGAAGCGTTGTTGTGCTTGCTGCTTGCAAAAGGCGATCACATTTTTCAACGTCACGCTGAGCTTATCGCTAATACCGACTGTTCGCTGACTTTGCAGCACATCTGCTGAGTTGCCAATCGGCAAAATGAAGCCATGTAAAATGCTTCACCACGCAATTGGAGCCAGCCAATAATCACTGAAACCTGCTCATATCACGCCCTGCTCATCCATTCGCCAATTTGCTTACTAAAATTCGCCACTAGGAAAATAGTTCCAGACCTGAGATGAAAGAGATTAATAGTCCCGCCAAACTGAGCACTGGTCGTAGGCATTTTCCTCTCAATTACGAGCTTCAACCGAAGGAATACTCGAAAATGTTTTCTTAACAAATAGCACATTTTCTGAACAGGAATGCGACCGTAAAATGTTATTAAGAGCCACGATACTGTAATCCATCATGAGCGGTTCTTCTGGACACTGCACTACGTTCCAGTTATGATGTTGGCCATTGGTGAGACCAAACGTCAGTAATAGGATATTCCTCCCTTCCGATGACAGCTTGTCCTCTTCCCACGGATCTTCTCTTACATGTACATGTCGCTTCGCCAATAGCGAGAACTCCGAAACACTCAAACTTGGAACAATAGCCACGCACCCTGTCCGGAGTATGAATGACCCTCAAAAGTGATAGTCACCCTTCTCTCCCCCCACCCTTCCTTCCTCCATCTTTCGACGGCTGTTACTTCTGTAGGTGTGTAGATGTGGAAATGAGTATACCAGCCACTTATCGTTACTGAAGAATCAAACCGAACAAAGATGAGGAGAACACCGTGCTTTGTATTCCCCGGGAGAAGGGGAAGCGTTTGTGATAACGAGCGACGCATGTTTTCCTGTGGTCAGCATTGCTATCGCTGGTGCACTCAGCTCAGCACTTTTTTCCACGACTATCACGAATTGATCGAACCGGCAGATGTACAGACACGAAACGCCGGAATATGGGAGCATACGCATCAAATATTCCACGCATTTTTGCTCCCAAGGAATTTTCACAAACATTTCCGGCGCACTACCAAATTCATTCTTCGTCGAGAATAGGGTGTGACTGGGAATCCATTGAAATCGAAAGCAGAGCGTGCAGAATCAATTAGTATGAACAATTGTCAGTGTCGAAATTTCGCATATTTCCTGGGGTGTTGGAAGTGGGAACTGGAAGAGAGAATGAGCTCCAAAACTGGGCGAAAGAGCGAAACTTTAAAATTCAAAGTCTCCATAATTTGTGGTAAGGTTGAGAATTAATCTCACTATTTCCAAATGTATAATCCACCGTTCCTCTACAGCCAAACCTCTGAAACTTGAAAGTTTGCTGTCAGTTATTTTTGTTATTTGTTAAGAGATGATGTGTAAAGGGGAAGGGGAGGATGAAGTTCCCGACTATAACGGATTCGTTGCACGAATGCGTGGGCAATCAATTCTCGATCAGGATCTTGAGATCTGTATCATGGGCGGGGAGAACTTGCCGAAACTCACAGTGCCCCGGGAACTTTACAGTTCTCTATCCCCAGTCATTTTGAAGACTAATCGAACTTCGAACTTTTGGACAACGGGTAGCGATTGAGATGGATGGATGGACGGAAAGCATTGCACTGGAGATTTCAGATCAATCCGGCGGAATCTGGCCATACTCGCCTGCTCCCCCCCCCCCCAGTAGAACCGCCTAAATGCCTCAAGGTTCTGAAATGATAGTCTTTGACACGGTAAAACCCCTCAGGAGGCGCTGTCGCGCGGCAAGAAGCGAAAAGTCAGCCGACCGAGTCGGCGCGAGCTATAGGGAGGTATTGGTTGTCAAGTTAAATCGAGTGCTCCGCCACTGCACGCTGCTAATATGCGCATCAACCACGGCTGCACTCGCTCCCCGCTCAACTCTGTCCTTCTTCCGCGCGCGAGGGGCCTCCTGTGGGGTACCCAGTCCTGACTGAGGAACCAAATTTATGTAAAATGTAAAATTCGTAACGAAAGGTCATTCGACAGCGAATGGATTTGCAAACGCGAGCGGACCAGGTGTGGTGGCAAAAAGAGGAAATTTGCTGCAGCATATTCAAGTTGTTCCGATTTTCCAATCTTCTTGCAACATGTGCTTATGCAGCAGAAGGTTCAAAGAAGCCGCCAATTGTCAACAAGCTTTGCAATCTCTCATTCAAGAACATTGTTAACAGCCTGTTAAGTGAGCAGTAGTTTTTACCCTCCTATGGCTTCGTAGAGGTTTTCGGGGAAAGCTGCTGTCATTTTCCCTCTGATGCTTATATGGCGGAAGGATTTGCTGGGCTGGTCAAAAATCAACGGGAATTACGGGTAACAAGGGGCTGATAAGTGATAGGACTACTATGAGATGCATGATATGAGACAATTATGTGACTGATTATAGGATTACCCATTTACTACCCTTCCCTACCCATTTATCAGCAGGTGGCTTCATATCAGTGATTACTCAAGCATGAGCCAAGGGGTTGATACTTCTTCCTATTTTTTGAGAAAGCCAGCAACGTAACATACAGCACTTCGGATGCGATTTGAAAAATATAGCCCATGCCCTCCTTCATAAACTCGTCTCGATGGGAGTGTACTTTTTTGCTCTCCTGCTTCTCTACTTGTGCCGCGCCGGTTGGAATTTATGACCCGTAAATCGTGCGAGCATTGCCAGACACTGACTGAAACCCTCAGCAAATTGCTTCGCACCAGAAGCGTGAACCAGCTATCCCGCTGAGCTGACAGTCACTAATCCTTAACTGACCGACAAGCACAAAGACACACAGTGAGCGACCTTGTCTTATGTGACCCGTCTACAGCGCCCATACGGGACGTAGTGACTTTAGGAGCACTACAGATGGGTCACAAAAGTTCAATGATGATTCATTTTGTTGAAGGGCGGTGATCGACGCTACCCGCAAATACGCCACTAGATAAATTAGATTATGAGAAAATGAAACTCATTCCCCTTCTTAAAATACTTATGTAGATTTCAGAATGGTTATTGTTGAGTGAACAAGACGCACCTGCTGTCGCTGATTGTTGCTGATGGAGGTGAGCACTTTGACGACGGCATCTTTGTCGCCAGCTCGCAAGGCTCGGTCGATCTTCTCGGCGGCCATTGCCGGATGGAAATCCGGGCAGTCGACAATTGTAGCGTAAGGGGAGTTCATTCTGAAATTTTCTGTCTTACTAAATAAATATTTTCAGCCCGCAGTATATTAGACAACAACGAGAGCAAGTGATAAATCAGATGTGGTACACGAAGGAAATACTTCAACGAAAGGAAACTTTGAAACAGCCAGCAGGTTAAGAGAGAAAAATAGGGCTAACTTCTTGACCTAACAACTTAGTTTCTAGTTTTGCCGGAAAATAACGAAGCATAACAGCAGATGACTATTTCACAGACTGATAATGGTCCATTACATCCATTTACTATGCATTTGATGCTTCTCCTCCTCCCCATTTAATTCCTCATTTCGTCTTTGCAGTAAAGCCTAATGTAGCTTGAACCACCACACCCCTATGAGTTTTAGCTAGACAAACGACCCAGTTCCGACAGCCATACACATGCAGGAAAGTGTTTTGTTAAGGCCCAATCAATGAATGCTCGCCTGCAAAGTGCACTTGATGGGAACGATTATGAGGGCTGAAAAAAGCGTCGTAAAGAAAAGCGCTATCTTTCCTTGGAGCTATGCTCGACGAAATAAAAGGCCTTGAGGATTTTTGAAATGGTCAAAAGACTTTGATAAATTTCGAATAAAAATTTCAAAATAAATGTTCAAAATTCCTTTGATATGGCTCTTCAAGGGCCAGAGCAGAAGAAATTCTGCTTCAATCCCGACGGCATTTTTGAGATTTTTGTACACGTATCATTCCCTTCCCCGTTAATTCCTCATTTCGTCTTCGAAGTGGAGTCCAAAGGTATAAATGTGGCTTACAATGAACACGGGGCAGGGGATAATAATCGAGTTGATGTTTTTTGGACACGTAGCACTACATAGTCTAGTGAATACAGTGAAGTATAACCAGTGAATGACGTGAAGATAACATCGAAGTCCAAGGTAGCTTAACATCTCCCTTGTAGATCGATTCCTATTTGAACTATCAGCGTTTGCCAATGGGAAGGAGGTAATTTAATCCTTGGAAACCTAATAAACAAAAAAACTCATTCAAGCACCAGCTTCCAACAAATGCACAGATGAGATACTCTTAAAAACACACAAGTGATTTCTAGTGCCTGCAAAGTGAGGCGCGCCTTGAAGCTTCTTTGCCCACCCTTCAAATTTGTTTTTCAAAATGTTTGTTGTTAAAGAAATGAAATGAGGAGTTAGAAGCT